AAATAACTCTATAATCAAATCAAATTCTTAATGATTAGATTTTATTTTATTAAAATGAGGAGATAAACTTAATTTAATATACACCAACTAAAGTATATCTTCCAACAGCATAACTAGTAAAAGGAATTTCTTAATTTGTGCCTTAAATCTCATTAATTGTACTAGCTATTTGAATTAAATTTGTATAAAATTTTATATAAGATTTAAATAAAATAAAATATAAAAATATAATATAACATTTATACTAAAAAAATAGAAAAAAATATATACATCTAATGTAAAAATTTAAACAAAATAAATTAAAAATAATTTAATTAATAAATTTTAACATGTGTATTTAAAATATAAATTAGACAAACTCTTATGAAAAAAATAAGGGTTTGTTTAAGAGTACAGAATACAAGTGTATTTATTATATTTTTTTATCATTTATCATGCATTAATTTACATAAAAAATAAAAAGTTAGCATTAATTTTAATATTTATAATACATTAATATTTTTATTAGATAATTGATAAAATTAATATTAATTTTAAATTTTATTATATATATTAATGATAAAAAATACAATAAATATACAAAAAAATAAAAGAGAAATTAAAGAAGAGTCCCACACCAACTGCCTAATGTTCCAACTGCCTAGCTAACATTAATGCTACCTGCCTTCGGCCCATATTAATTCTCTAAGGGATACAGTTATCGTAATCATTAATAATATTATGGTTATTAAAATTAAAAAATATTAATTATATTTAATTTAATTAAAAAATTAATAATTATGTTAATAATAAATAATTAATATTTATTAATTAATAAATTATTATGTTTAAATATTATTTAAAAAAACAAACTTCAAATATTTTTTAGATAACCTTCAACATCTTTATCGTGATAATAACTACACCAATTCTTTAGCTCACCAAAACCGAGAAATTAAATTCTCCATGAAAGGACAGATTGATTATTGTCGCCATCTACTGTCAATTATTTGTATGTGTGAGTCATGATGACAGATGAAGATGGAAACCAAAACCAGAATGGCCACACAGATGGACCAGTAGTGTTTCTTTCCACTACCGTACGTTTTCGATCATCGGACAATAGGAAGTCAAGTGAAAAATTGTTAGGTGGACTCCATTGGAATTGAAAATTGGGACTTAGGGGTGGGGGGGAAGAGAATATAAGAGAATTGAGTTTGAATTTTACTAGTATAGGTAGAGCACTTGTATCTTGACCATATAAATCATGGACAGAGTTTTATTGAAAGGACTTTAAATTAAGGATTTTTAAAAAAGGTGTGTTATTGTACCTTTAAAAAAAATATTAATTAATAAGAACAAATAGATAATATTAATTTTAACATTTATTTAAGTAATAATAATATTAAAATTAATATTAATTTTTATATTTTTTTGTACATTTATAATAAAAAATATATTTTTGTGATGAAATAGTTAATTAAAATAGATAAATAATGATAAAATTAAATTAAAATTTTTTATCTACTTAATAAAATAAATAATTAATTTAAAATAAATTTAAAATCAAACTAATAATTATTTTACTACGGAAAGGGTATCTTTATTTTTTTATAAGGATTTATCTTTATAAATTTTTTGTCGAGGACCATTACATGGCAGTTTAGCAGTGAAAATTGAATATTCTATTAGTTTGACTTAGTCAAACTCTTTAATTACATAGCAGTTTAGCCGTGAAAATTGAATATTATATGAATTTGACTTAGTCAAATCTTTAAGTCAACTCAGCCTTGTAAGAAACAACAAACAAGCAAAAGAAAAAGAATTTTGCTTTGCATAAAAAAATAGTGATATAAAAATAAATTAGAAATAAAATTTTTATGTAGTT